AAGAACTGGGAAAGTTGAGACAAGTCCAGTTGAGCGTAGGCAGAGAAAGTGTAAAGATTTGAGGAGATGGGGAGACTAAATGATATGAAATGGGACCATTACTCATGCAGTTAGGAAAATTAAGTTGAGGCAGAAAATGTAATGTTTATGATGGTGTTCTCATCTTCATTTCTCTCAATCCTCCTCCGGGTGATGAGATAATAATACCATTTACAACTCACAATTTGGAATTTACACTGCACATCCATCCACATGAAATAATAACCAACTTTGTTTGACTTTCTTGGTCCTGCTTGACTTCAGAAGAAGAGCTTTATATGTTCTGCCCTGTCGTTTCTGGACCAGTGTTCCAACCAACCACCAGCCTTTATCCACCAGCTACATAGTCAGAGACGTAAAAGTCCCGTAAATATCATGATGAGTTTAATGAGCAGGGAGGAAAAAGTACTCGACTTAATTTTTTGTGTTCCACCGAGAAGAAGAAGAAGAAGCATATGGTTCACTTTTTCACGTCGGGTGTCGACATTGATTTCAAATCGCATGTTGTTAAATCCAGACCGATTTTAAAGGGTTAAGGTTGAAGGAGAACGAAATAATAATGCTTTACATGTGTACTCGTACATATTTTCGCAGGGTGGCTGCTGCTCAGTTGGTCCTCAGCATAAGTCTCGATTATCGGGGCCAAGTTGAACCGAGACATGACAAATATCTCACTTGACATGAGAACAGAACTCGGAATGCTCCAACATACTTGAATCAGCATGGTAAGGTTGCAACACTCAAGTTGAGAATCACCCTTGAAATATTTTTCATCAGATGTGGGATGACACGACATGTCACTTCAAAGTTGTATGTTGAATGCTCATTAAGTAACCCTTATTACTTCGACTTTAAAATTATTTGTTTTTACATGTGCAACTTGAGATCAAGATATAAAATCACATTTTCTTCTCTGTCAAGTCATAAAATAACTTTTCCCAACTTATGATTATTTTCATACTTGTGTAACGAGAGAGGTGCGGATCTCGCATTTATGTAAAAGTAATTAACAGATTAACAGGAAGTGTGTAATTCGCATTCAAATTTTGACATGCAATTTTTATTTAACACGGGGCGAACAATTCACAAATTGTAAAAGCAAAGCATTTCGACCACTTTGGTCCGTCACCTTCGGTCTGGGTGCGAAATTATTGGTGGACGGACAGAGACTTGTTTTTTAAAGAGAAATTAAGATTTCATTCACCTTGTCGTAATATCTGCAGCTTGTGGCCCCTCCTCGAAACACCTGTCCACCCAGATTGCCAACGTTTACTTGCGTAACATTTTTTTACCCGTTGTCTTCTCATGATCTGCATGGATGCCAACTGACCCGTGAAATGCTACATGTCTTTCGCGAGTTTATAGTTTCGTGAAGTAATCAAAAGTCGCAATCAGCAGTCAAAAATTGCACCTTTTACAGTCCGTGTGCTTCCATCCAATTGCTTTCGTTGTCTTATAATGTGTATGCAGTATGTGTGTATATATGTACCTACATCATTATGCTAAGGTAGTGAAGTATAAAATATTCCATATTATACAATCATACACATAGTAAAATAAATGTTTAATTGACTCAAATCCGCCAATCTCTCAACGACAAGAAGAATGCAAAAATTTATCATTGCTAACACTGGAAACCGTATGACATATTCCAACGTCCTATTGCCTATGTAAATAAGTATGTAGCTGCGTATGTATGTATGCATGTGCCCTCTGATAAGGAGTCAGATCTGGTTTTGCGGCAGATGTCTTTTACAAAAATTCTCACGGTGCAGGAAGTCTCTCAAATGCCAAATTAATTCCTGGTTCGCGTTCGCGTAATTTCTGGACACCAAAAACACCTGCCCTTTCTTATCTTATCTCAATGTCATGCAATGCTCTCTTTCTTCTTCTTCTTCTTGTTGGGTAGGAAATCAATTCAGCACTTTTCGTCCTGTGACTTGTTCTCTTTCCGTTTGAGTAGTCCATGTTGTTCGAATAGTGCATGAACGAGACGGCTGAAATGAGATTGCATGGTCCGTCCGGTCCAGTCTAGTATTTTTTCCCCCCGTTTCGCTGGTACTGAGCGTAATGTTGTGCAATTTAATTGTAGTCTCATCCCATGTACACACATCAACGTGAATAAATTGAAGTTGGATTGTCCATCTGCGTCGGAGTAAATGTGAATCAAATCACACCACCACTTTCATCCTCGGATAAAATACGCTCCAGGTTTTGGTTTATTGGGTGGATGGGATTGTCCACTTATTTAATCATTTACTGCATTTACTTGATCATCCAGATCCTAATTTCTTATCGCTTTATCACCAATAAAAAGAAAACAAGTCTTTACGCTGGAAAAGTGAATTAAACACTCCCACCTGCAGAACTGCATCTTCTCCTTCACCACATTTGCATACACTTGCATGCATGCAGTTCTCTCCAGTTTACTACGTCCTACTGCTGACTAATGATACGGTGGATGCTGTGGAGAGTGGTCGATATCACTGCAATGCTTATTATTATTCTCGCATTAATGTCCCTTTATTATTATAACAGCTCGTTTTTTCATATCGACGAACGACAACCGGCATGGAGGAGTGATTGCGAGCTTTATAGTTGTTCTTCTGCTGTATCAAGTGATCCTCGTCGTCATGCACCTGTTGCTTCATTTCATGTTCATCTCATATGCACAATCTCAAAATCACACACACATCCTCGTCGTAACGATACGTGTCCACTTTTTGCACTTGTTTTACTACGACGACTTCCACTACCAAGCAGATACGTGTACGATGAGACTAACTACGATGAGAGTAAATCCGTATTTTTACTTTTACTACAACAACAACACTACAATGACACTCAAACCACCTCCAATTTCCTCGCATAATCTCCTCGGCTACAGCATCCTGGTGGATTTACCTGACGAGATTTAGTTAGAAAATGATAATAAAAGCCTTTTAAAGCACACAACCTCCCATTATCTTTGCTTCCACTGACAAGTGCAATTGCAGACGAGATGGAGAAAAACGTCTCTCTCTCGTTGCTCGCAATCTTTGTTTGTATCTCGCCATCCTTGTTGGTTCAAATTGTGGAGGATTAATATGAAGATGAAGAACGGCATGGAAATCCCAGCAGAGACGGGGACGACGCGATGATGGTAATCTCACCGGAATAATTACACATTTGTATAACTCGCTGTCCTGGAGAAATCTCGTTAATTTTGCATTTGGAACAAGCGGAGCATGAAAGTTCTCTCATGACTCAGATTTTGAGAGGGCAACAGAAATCAGAAGAAAAGCGTCCCAAAAGCTGGCACAATAAGAGACCTGATTTGGACCCAACCGGGAGCAGGTGTTGGTGTCAGTGTCATTGTCAAGCGTAGAAAGGAACCAATTCTCTGGTGTGGGGAAGGAGGAAGAAATATGGGAGGAGGAAGGCTGAAGAGAGCGAGAATATGTTGTAAGGGTGTCCACAAGGATGATCATGATTCAGAACTGCATGGGGTAATAATGGTCCTTTTGACATGACGTGCATGGCTTCGACGAATCCATAAAAACATCAAATCACTGCTGCTCACCATGAAAAGTGACACGGACGGAGCGAGAGAGACTCGATTTCCTCAAGTAAATCGGGTTGAAGGTCAGAAAACCTCGAATCTAGGATCCTTTTCAAAACCTTCTTCAATAATGACTACCATATCCAGCCAGCCAACAATGGGAGGACTGTAAAGGAGGACACAATGCGTGCTAACGTGAACTTTTATATCCCATTCTCTTCGCCTAGGTTGACTTTTTGTCAATCCGTCACACCTCACATTCAGCATGCACAACATAGCGCATAACCAGTCGGGGGCAGGTAGCAGAATACGACGACCAAAAGTGGGGGAGACACAGAAGGGAACAACGAGCCCCTTGGTGGTTGTTGGAGAAAATGCGATTGCGGTGATGGTCATCGGTATCCGAAGAGGACGATGTGCACCCCAATCTCCACAATCTCCAGTGTTGAAAACCACCAGCTCGTGATGATGAGAGTGAATTATAATTTACAACACAAACTGACTTACTTGACACTGTCATTAACTTGACTTTGCTTTCGTTTTGGCATCATGCAGTCAGCCATCCACACACCATCATCATATTCATCACAGCAACAATTGCGTCTGCTTCCAGGAGAGATTGTGGGAGACAAAAAATGGTCAATTTCGAGTTGGAAGGGATAATTACAGGGATTATATTTAGGCTGGTTGCAGAAAACATGAAATGGTCGATGATATAATACCTAAGTGCATGCTTCCCTACATTGGATACATAATATTTTATACATAGCTCGTAAACTCGGAGCAAGTACTTCATATACGAGGGGATTTTTTTTATATATTTTGAGCCTGACCAAGATAGCTTTAAAATTCTGGAGCATTTACTATATAATTTTTCAATGCAGTCCCCACCGAGGTTAACACACTTGGTCCACTTCGATTTCAAGTACTATTGCCTTCTACATAAATTTTCGAATCTTGATCCTCAAAAAACGCTAAAATTTCTTTGTTTTTACTACTGCAGCGATGGAATAATTTTATCATTTTTTCATTTACCACAGCATTGTTTACAACTTTGGGAGTTTTGGTTCATTTATCAACATGCAAAATGAGCCTTCGATAAGATTTTCCTCTCCGGCATTTCTCAACCATGGCTTGACATAATTTATTTATTTTCAGTTCAATAACTCCAGTTTTCGTAGTTTTATGGGATAAAAATTCCCTCTGAGTTAAAACACATGTTATTACTTTCGTTTCTGATTTTCCGGTAAATAATTATTTTTCTATTTTACCATTATAAGATGATTATAAAATTTCCAGAAATATTCTCACCAAAATTCGTACTTGACGCATGCAAAAGTGCCACCACCACCAGAACGGGTTTTCATACGACCAGTCAACTCTTTGTTCACTTGGAGGAGCGGGGAAGAGACGCGGCAATCGTATGAAGAACAACCAGCACTCAACTTCAGAAATCCACTCTTCTTCTTCTCGCGAGTTTCTGAAATAATTCAAGAATTCAATTTTTAGTTCCTTATTGTTTGTTAGTTTTTGGTATAAACAAACAATTCATTTTATACAGTTTGTTATTATCCTGATCTGAAGAGCATGTGTAAAATACTAGCAAAGTTTTGTATTCAAACCAGTTGATCAGTTTGTTTCTACCTCTGTTAAAATGGTTTTGCAAAATACCGGAAAATTTAACAAGTTCCGGGGTGGCGGAGGTGGGAGGGACAATTCTGACCGTTGGGAGAGTCGTAGGGACACTGAAGCTGGGGCCAGCTTGGAGGGTGGGGCTGTGAGCCAACAGGAAAATAGTGAGAAAAGGTAACCCAGTGTACACTCAAATATTAATTAATGATCAACTAAGTGTGTGTGTTGAATTTCAGGGATGACAACTCAGAATTTCGGTTGCTGCAATCGTTGCAAAATGACTCTATTGATTCAAAATATGGATTTGACAGGGTTAAAGATGCGACGGAGAGAGTGGGATGGCTTCTAAATATGCATCCGGTACTCCTTAATTTTTGGCTAAACTTAAAACTTGCAATTTTATCCCCGTTTTTGTGTAATTCCAGACTGAAGTTTTAGATGAAGATAAGCGACTCGTTGGTGCTGTGGACTATTATTTCATTCAGGACGACGGCACACGTTTTAAAGCCACTTTGGCATACAATCCATACTTTTATATACTCCCGAAACCTGGTATGACTATGAAAAAATTAACATCAAACAACTGATAGAATATTTAGAACAATTAATCCGTATGTTATGCAAATTTTACAGGAACTGAGAAAGAAGTTGCTCTATTTATTCAGAAAAAATTCAGTGGATTCCTAGCAGGATCAGAATATGTGTCAAAAGAAGACCTGGATTTGGTACTAAAGTTATCTCATCGTGATAAAGCGCATAATGTTGGAATTTTCTTCAATATTTATAGCCAATATTTATGTATTGAATTTCAGCCAAACCATCTTGTTGGACTACAACAACAATATTTAAAACTTTCATTTTTAAATGTGGCCGATCTTCAACGAGTGAGAAGAGATATACTGCCAGCAGTTCGAAAAAATCGAGAACGAGAAAAATCACATACAGCATATGCAGACATGTTGCGACAAAGTTATATTGGAGATATGTCAGAATTTTCACATCAAAGAAGTGGTACTGATCAAATGGAAAATATTATCGACATCAGGTTGGCATTTTTACCACCACACACTTCTAAATACTTACTAAATAAATTGGGTGGATGCACATACTTATTTACTTGAATCCACTTTGAATTTGTAGAGAGTACGATGTCCCATACCACGTCCGAGTATCAATTGACAAGAAGATATTTGTTGGACTTTGGTACAGTGTCAAACTTCAAATTGGAGTCAGTCACAGCCCAATAATCCAGAGGAGGACAGACTTAATTGAAAATCCAGACACTATTGTCTTGGCGTTTGATATTGAAACTACAAAATTGCCTCTTAAATTCCCAGATGCATCGTTTGATCAAGTTATGATGATTTCATACATGATTGATGGACAGGTACGTACGCATATTTGAAAAGTGTTGTTGTCGCCTTTTGCCGTATGCGTCGGGAATGGTTTATATAACTTGTGGCTTTAATTTTTCCAGGGATTTTTAATTACAAATCGTGAGATTGTGTCGGCGGATGTGGACGATTTTGAATATACTCCAAAACCAGAGTTTGAAGGAAATTTTGTCATCTTGAACGAACCGAATGAATTCGCCTTAATCAAACGATTTTTTGATCACATCCTGGACGTGAAGCCTCACATATTTGCAACATACAACGGCGACTTTTTCGATTGGAAGTTTGTCGAAGCTAGAGCGACAATTCATGGTTTGGACATGCTAAAAGAAATTGGATTCGCCGTTAACCGCGAAGGAACATATTCATGCCGCCCTTGTATTCATATGGATTGTTTTTGGTAAGCACACTCGTCCTCACGATTAAACGTAAAATAAATAAACTTTCATTACTCTTCTCAATCTATAATTGCAATTTCAGCTGGGTCAAGCGCGATTCATACCTCCCCGTGGGGTCGCAGAACCTAAAAGCTGTGGCTAAGGCAAAACTACGGTATGATCCGGTGGAGCTGGACCCAGAGGACATGTGTCGAATGGCGTCAGAACAACCCCAAATTTTGTCAAACTATTCTGTGTCAGATGCTGTTGCTACATATTACCTTTACATGAAATATGTCCATCCGTTTATTTTCGCCTTATGCACCATTATTCCGATGGAGGCTGACGAGGTGCTAAGAAAAGGATCCGGAACTCTTTGTGAAACGTTGCTGATGGTTGAAGCTTTTCACGCAGTAAGTCCTTCGTGTCTAAAGAATATAAGCCCTACAGATTATTATACGGCAATAATACATCTTTCCGCAGAGTGTAATATTTCCCAATAAGCAAGAATCCGTTCTGAATAAAATGACTGAAGACGGTCACGTTTTGGATCAAGAGACATATGTTGGTGGTCACGTAGAAGCGTTAGAATCTGGAGTATTCCGATCGGATATTCCTTCACGTTTTAAATTAGTGAGTAAATATTAGCGTTATTTTCGCCCAATAATTTTTCAAAATGTCTAGGTTTTTTGTGCTAAAAACAATTATCTATTCTTACAGGTACCTGAAATATTCGACACTTTAATAGGCAATGTTGAAAAAACTCTAAAACATGCACTCGAGGAAGAGGAGCAAGTTCCACTCGAGCAAGTGACTAATTTTGACGACATAGTTAGCGATATCAAGTCAAAGTTACTAAGTTTACGAGATAATCCTATTCGTCACGAGTATCCCTTGATCTACCATTTGGACGTTGGTGCCATGTACCCCAACATTATTTTAACAAATCGGCTTCAACCCTCTGCAATGGTGAACGAAGCAGTGTGTGCGGCTTGCGATTTTAATAAACCCGGAGCCTTGTGCCAACGTCAAATGGAGTGGACTTGGCGAGGAGAATACAGTAAGCATTTTCCGAAAAACTTACAAAAGACATGCATAATTAATGCGTCCTCTGCTTCTGCTTGTGTTGTATAACAATGTATATCAATTGTTGTTCACCAGTGCCTGCGTCTCGAAGTGAATTTCAAAGGATTCAACAACAGCTTGAAATGGAAAAGTTTCCTTCTGAATTTCCCAACGGTCCTCCTCGAGCCTTCTATCAATTGAAGAAGGAGGACAGGGCTGCTTACGAAAAGAAACGACTCGTCGATTATTGCAGGAAAGCGTACAAGAAAGCGCACGTCACCAAAATCGAAGTACGTACTCAGACTGTTTGCCAGAGAGAAAATGCTTTTTACGTCGACACCGTTCGAGCCTTCCGAGATCGAAGATACGAATATAAAGCTTTAAACAAGGTTCGTTTAATAATTGTTTCATTATTTCGGAATTTTGACTATTATTAAATGGATGGACTCATTTTTTAGAGTGCAAAAAAACAAGTATCAGATGCTGTTGCAAGCGGCGATGCCTCCGAAATCAAGTCTGCTCAAAATCGGGAAGTTTTGTACGACTCACTACAGCTCGCTCACAAGTGTATTTTGAATTCCTTTTACGGATATGTTATGAGACGAGGGTATGGTCAGCAGTTTCTTAAATTTAGATACCAAAAGCAGGTTCAAATAAATCTTTAAACTGGTTAAATCTCAAATTCTCCTCTCTAGTGCCCGATGGCACAGCATGGAGATGGCTGGTATCGTGTGCCACACAGGCGCAAACATCATTCGACGTGCCAGAGAAATTATAGAAAAGATTGGGCGACCCTTGGAGCTAGATACGGACGGTATTTGGTGCATCTTGCCATCGTCGTTTCCAGAAAATTTTACTTTTACAACCAAATTGGAGAAAAAATCCAAAGTCACCGTTTCTTTCCCGAATGCGGTACTCAACTTGATGGTCAAGGTACCCTATTATTTGTATTTATTAGATCACAGTGTAACAAGCATTACATCACATTCATTAATATATTATTATTACATATCAGGATGCCTTCACCAATGACCAATACCACGAACTTTCGGACACAACAAGTTGTGAGTATGTGGTTAGAAGTGAAAATTCAATCTTTTTTGAGGTGGATGGACCGTACTTGGCAATGATATTGCCTGCCTCGAAAGAAGAAGGAAAAAAGTTGAAGAAACGATACGCCGTGTTCAACAAGGACAAGAGTTTGGCCGAATTAAAAGGGTATTTAAGCTACATTTAGAATTTTAAGGTTTTAATAATTGTTTTCATCAGGCAGCTTGTTTGTTGCTGTTCACAGATTTGAAATAAAACGAAGAGGGGAGTTACAGTTGCTGAAAAACTTCCAGTCTTCTGTCTTTGATGCATTTCTTAAAGGTGACACTTTGGAAGGATGTTACAAGCATGTAGCAAAGGTTGCCGATTATTGGCTAGACGTCTTGTATTCAAAGGTAAATTGTTGATATACTTATTTGTATGCTTAGCTTATTTAAAGCTAATTCCAAATTTTACTAACTTTCAGGCATGCGATATGCCAGATTCCGAGCTGTTTGATTTAATTTCTGAAAATCGAAGTATGAGTAGAAAATTGGAGGATTATGGAGCCCAAAAATCAACCTCCATCAGTACAGCGAAACGCTTAGCAGAGTTTTTGGGGGATCAAATGGTCAAGGACGCTGGTCTCAGTTGTCGTTTTATCATCTCGAAGAAACCTGACGGTGCTCCCGTTACTGAAAGGTAGCAATAGCAATTGAAAACGAATCAGAACACCTTGTACAAGCAATATTTTATTAATTACCTTAATTTTTATTTTTAGAGCAATTCCTTTAGCTATATTTCAAGCTGAGCCAAGTGTAAAGCGTCATTTCCTGCGACGATGGTTAAAAGACAACAGCATTGTGAATTTTGATATTCGTACTCTCCTGGATTGGGATTATTACATTGAACGATTGGGAAATTGTATCCAGAAAATTGTCACAATTCCAGCTTCGATTCAAGGAGTAATTAAATAATAATAATTTGCACTCTGCCTTACCCAATTTCTGATTTTTGTAAGTAAAATTACCGGATCTGTTTAGGTTGCTAATCCAGTTCCTCGCGTAGCACATCCAGACTGGTTACATAAACGCCTTTTAGAAAAGACAGACGTGTTGAAACAGAGGAAAATAAATGAAATGTTTTCTATTGCACCAAAACCTTCTGAAGAAGAGGTGTGTAACGAAGCGATGATGGTTCAAATCTAAATTAAAAAAAAATCCTAATATCCTGAACCTTGACTAACATTGTGGTTATGTGATCTAAGAATCCTCAAGGTTGTGATAACAATGTTGGCGATATTGAAGAAGTTGGAGGGGCTGTGCGACCGGCTCGCAGCATGGTTGTTGTTACTTCCTCGCGGAATCGAGAAAAACGCGGACGATCTCCCGATGTTGATCTCTCTCAACACTGGAAAGATGCACTAGGCCCTGCCCCTCCCCAGGGGGATGATGCAGTAAGTTTTGTCTACCAGTTTAGATGGCTGTGATGTTCACAATTTAATTGATTAAATTAATATGACCTTTCGGTTTCATGAATATTAGGAAAGCATTGCAACATGGCTTATATTCCACAAAAAGAAGTGGGAGTATCAAGCAAAACAGAGGTCCGAAAGAGTTAAAAAAGCAAGACTGACAGAATCAACTAACGACTTTGGGTTGAACAATGCTGTTGGAAAAAAGAATCAGGGGCCCGTTACTTTGGGAGGATTCTTGCGCCAAGCCCAACAAACTTTGTTGAACTCGCCTTGGCAAGTCATTCAGGTTGTCATGCATAAATCTACGTATACAAAAGTTGAACCAGACTGACTGAACACCGTTAATTTGCACTGTATAATTTAGGTTGTAGAAACTGGACAGCCAGGACTTTTCAAAGTTTGGGCAATAGTGGGACAAGAACTTCATCAAATCAAAGTGACCGTTCCGCGAGTATTTTATCTCAACTCGAAAGAAATGAAGCCAAATGGCGACGGGGAACATTTCAGAAAATGTAATAAAAGTTTACCTCGCTCTCATCCCAACTATAATTTATACGAGTACACCATTCCTGAAGAACTGTACAAAGCGACCTCCAAGTACGTCTGGACATTTATGTAGTTTCAGATTATTACTGAAATTGACTCATAACTTTTATTGTCTACTCCACATTTATTTCAGTGACCTGTTGGCAGACTTGGCTACTCCAGCAGTGGAAGGAATTTACGAGACCCAAGTGCCTCTAGACTTTAGAACTCTGATTCAAATAGGTGCAATATGTGCAGTGGATAGACAAGCAGCTCGACAGATGAGAGATACTGGAGAGTCTTTTGATCTCAAAAATTTAAATTTCGTACCTGTCGCACCAGGCTTTCCGTATTTGGACTTGTCAGTCGTTAAATACATTTACATTTACTACCATCAATCTGGGACAAAGTCTATGATTGGAGTTTTTGTGACGCCAGCATCCAAAGCTACAATTTTTGTGGTCGACACAGTTCGTACGAACCAAATGCCAAATATGAACGTGTTGTACAATCTTGCTCGAACCGAAAGGTAATAATTAAATACTGTTAAATACAATACTATTTTAATAGCTTTTTTAAATAGCATCTCGTCTCTAAATGAGTCATTTTAAATATCTACATATATGTTCATAGAATTAGCAGAGGCGATGGAGAGGATAGAATGCCAGGTCCAAACTTCACGATTGATGTCAAGGTAGAGATTGATATGCGTGCCGTTCATCGTGGCATACATAGGATACTTCAAGGATATAAGGATGAGAAACGAGGGCCTACAGTGATTGCTCTACAGTCCAAAATCAGTAAGTAAATTAAATAATTTTAAAATATCAGCGAATTAATCTAATATGAATTAGATTTCACCCACTGGACATCGGCAGTCCCTGTCATGGGAGAGTATCCTATCATCCAAATTCATGTGATGGATGGTGACAACTTGTACGCTTCTCTGGACTGGCAGCGACTTGGATCAAAAGTTCTGTTGCGCCATTTTTTACGGAGCAAAGTCATGCTTTCGGCGGCGATTGATCTCAGTCTTTATTTCCAAGTCCCAGTGGGCAACATTCCCTCCGATTCCACAATGTTTGGCTGCGACATATTTTATGCGCGACATCTCATTCGTCAGAATTTCGTGCTGTGGTGTTCTCAAAGTGAGAGACCTGATCTTGGTGGAAAAGAGGCTGATGATAACAGGTACAAAGTAAATTAATGTGGTCAAGAGCTGCTGAAAGTACATAATAAATATGCGCATTTTCCAGGTTGATTACGGAGTTTGAAGAACATAGTAACATTGTGCTGAACCAACCGAGTTTTTATCAAACGGTTTGCGTCGAGTTGGAATTGGACGGTTTGGCTGTGAATACACTTTTGCAAGCTCATCACGTTCACGATATTGAAGGAACAAGTGCAACTGTGGCTTTCGATACGATGCCACAACAATCATTGGAGGAAATGATGGGGAATGCACCCGGCCCATCGCTTGCCAGTTATGATGAAACTGCCCTATGCAGTGGGGCCTTCAGAGTTTTGAGAACAATGGTAGCATCGTGGTTAAGAGATGTTTCCGTGCACCGAAATGTTATTGCTGATTATCAACTAATAAATTTTTACAGGTAAATACGTTCATAAAAACTTGTTAATAATAACATTGTGATACTCCTCAGATAGTATAATTGTTTTTTATTCATTTATTCACATCTTACAGATGGCTTAGGTCCCCCCATGCGTTGCTGTACGATCCAGCACTCCGGAAATCATTGAATAACTTGATGAAAAAACTTTTTATTCAACTTGTCGCCGAGTTTATGAGACTTGGTGCTGTCATAATTCACGCAGATTTCAGCCGACTCATCATCTGCACCAAGAAAAGTAGGGTAGCCGACGCGTTAGGCTATGTTGAGTACATCACCCAGTCCATAAAAAATAAGGAATTGTTCCACAGCATTGATATAAAAGTTACGCAAGTTTGGGACTGTCTGATGTGGCTTGACGCGGTGAGTTTTGATGCGTGTTGAACTAAATTTATATAAATTTGCTACTCTATATTAAATTCTGAACATTTAGGCAAATTATGGGGGCATCAAGGGGAAAGTCAAGGACACTGAAACCAAAGAAATGGAAAAGTCGGCGACGAGAAAAATATTCAAGACGAATGGGAAAACTAAAAATCGAGATGACGAGGACAACCCAGATGATGAAGACGACGAGGTTGAGGATGAAGAGAATGAAGTAGAGAGTGAAATGGAAGAGCTCAACTTGGATGATGATGAGGAATCAGAGGTATCATTCTTATTATGTAATGCGCGATTCTAGTTTCATTTGATTTATAAATCGTCTAATTAAGAGTATGCCTGTTTGTAGCCATTTGAGATGGACATGCACTGGAGTCTTATCAACTATCTACCTGAAGTTGGCAACTGTAAACAGAATTTCGTTACAACCATTTCCAGCTACATAAAAGCAGTATTTGAACAACTTTTGGAAGAAATGGACGGATTTGTACCTGGGCATACCCCAGTTCGAAGGCGAGGATTAAGTCAACAAACGCCAAGAAGAAAATGCAACAACCCCCTTTTGAAAGGTACTGTGGCGTTCTCTCGAGAATTGGTTCAGGGAGAATTGGCACAGCTTTTATTTGGGTAAGTTCGTTTCTTATTCGCTTAGTAAAAAACAATGACGAACCACTTTTATTTAAAAAAAAACAGGGTAGTGCAACAAATAGAAAAGAAATATCCGAACCCTGTTGCTACATCCGACAACAATTCTGCCACATTCCGCGTGTCATATTTAATTCCAGAAAAACCTGCACTAGAGTTTATTAAAGCCGTTCATAAGGTTTGAGAATAATAGTTCACATTTACTATTCCACGCAAATATTCTGCGGTTTTGATTAATCATGATTATATTTTGATTTCAAAGGTTCTATCGCTGGATGCAAACATCGAAAGCGAATCATTCAAACTGAGGAGAAATTTACTAAAGCTGATCAACGTACCAGAGTTTAGTAACAGTGCGCAGTGGGTGGATCCCTGTATTTCCATAATACTTCCAGAAGTCATCTGCAAAGTTTGTAATCAATGTCGTGACATTGACTTGTGCAAGGATCCACATTTACGAATAGACAACGACCTGTAATTCGAATCAATATGCATATTCCTAGTACAGTTTAGCTCGGAAATTAATCTTTAAAATATTTTATATTTTGAAGGCCAGTGTGGGTGTGTCCTGCATGTAAAACCAGCTATGAAACTACCGAAATTGAGCAAAATCTAGTGGAAATGATTAACAGAAAGTTGATGGCCTATGTGTTACAAGATCTGCAGTGTACGAAATGCAATCAGGTAAAAATATCCCCCAAATATTTCTTAACATCGTACCAGACTGAATCAAAGATTAACATTATCAATTCAAATAGATAAAGCAAGACAACATGTTTTTGGTCTGCACGTGCGCTGGTGTTTTAAAAACTTTGATGGATGTTCAGCAAACCGCAACAAAATTGAGAGCATTTCGAGGAATCGCAACACACTTTGGGATGCCTCTGCTTCTTCAAAATGTCGAATGGATATTGAAATTAAATCCACAATTCGATAAATCATAATAATTCATTTACTCGCATTTGTATTCCGTTTTAATTAAATCCGGCATGATGCCCTCTCAAGAAAAGTGACGTAAATATTATGTTTTTAATTTAAATGACACTTGGGTCAATGCGGATCGATTAAATTATTAAAGGAATATTAGTTAGCTGTTCAATTCATTTCTGTCAGCATCTAGTGTATTTATTTTACATATAATTAGCAAGTTCGATTTTGAACCGAGTTGACTACGTTGTTCATATTCGTATAATCCTTCTTAATTTAATTAACAATTGAACATTGAAGATTTGACTTTACATAATTTTTAATACATCTAAATAGGATTTATTAAGGTGGACTTCACCGTCTACTTTGGAGCTTGTTGATTAATGGGATCCACGACCGGGTCTGAAACATGAAAACAGTAACAAAGGATAATTAACCACGCCCACAAACACTGTGTGTCATAATCGTGTAATACCTGTGAAATTGAAATTAGGGAATTTAGTCATGTCGACATTTGCACCACCACCGTAAATCTTGGCGATTCTGTCCATCTCGGTCTTAAATTCCCTTTCAATTTGGGGGTTGCTGTCAACCAGCTTGCCTGGCGATGCTCTAATTAATCAGGCCCAAAAAATATTAGCAACACGAAATTTAACACCTCAACAATACGCCATAAACTATAAATTATACGACCGACTTACTTGGCTTTTTGATCATATTCTTTCAGTTTTTGAAGAAACAGTTTCTGGATGGGGTCGGTCGCTTGCCCCTTCTGGGCTAATACGGCAGAAATCCCCAGATTGCGGCGACACATCCCCAACGCTGACTTTTGGATTCGAGGAATCACATTCATTTTGAAATCTAGAAATTTGCTTCAAAATTTCAACAAATACGAATTTAAAAACAAATTGCAGGGATCAGATTTGGAGTGGCCGAAGAGATTTAACCGAGCCCGCGGTGCAGATGAGGTTTGCCGACTGACTGCAGAGTGCTCCCAAGTCTCAACAGTCTCATTTGTGCTCTTTCAGCTTTCTTTCAACTCTTTCGGTGTCTCAATCATGCGAATCTCATATTGCATGATTTTGTAGGCGTTTGTGTATGAAAATTGTGCCCAACATATTATAGCCTGCGTCCCAATCCTCCATAAGAAACATGTAAAATTGGGTCTTCCTTTAGGACACAATAAATAATCTATAGGTCAATAGACCATATGTAGATAACCATCTTCTTTCGTGGATAAGTTATGACCTTGCGGGTAATACTTATTATTGTTAATCTATGGGGTAATATCTGTGAAGAAGAGGACCAATCTGAAGATGTGGATTGGAGAATTTTGGGGCCAGAAAAAAGTCAAAATCCATTCACACGCACACACCGGTTCAACATAATGGCAGTAAGTAATGGAAGGGAAGGCAGAAAACTACCACTTTTTTCTGCCGTCTGAAAGAAAAAGTGTATCGAAGGAGCCCTTGAAGTCCCACCACCACAAGAAATGTGGATTCAATTCAACTAACTTATCTCGACAGTCTCAACAACAACGATCTCCTACAAGTTTCTGCTCCTTTTATGTAACATTGCCCAACTTCTTGATTCTTTGATCCCTGTAACAATAATCTCGCAACACAAAGGTCACGAAGGTGTTTAAATGAAAAAAATTCCATTTCAGCAGCTTCAAGTCCACATTTCCAGGATCGACGTACATATATACTGACTTCCTCGTTCCTCATTTGCTTCATTTGAGTGGAATCTCTCTACAAGTCTCCTCTCAGAAAAGTAGTGCTGCTAAATATATTTCCATAAAGTTGTGGACCGGATCTAAATATCTTTTTGGCTGGCATTGGACTCGTAAACAAGTAAGTCATTAAAATCATTAGTCAACAAGCATTAACTTCCAGCTATTCATGGGGCTGAAAGTCATTGTGATTGATCGGTGGTGGTGGTGGAGGTTTGAAGGTTGATTTGTCAAGTTCAAGTATTGGTTGGTATTATAAATATGTATTTATTATGCATCGACATGTTTCGATGATCAACAACCAAACCAGCATGATATTACTTTACTGGGTTTAGGATTATTTAAGTTTCATTTTACAATGAGCGTCATAATCATGTCATTATATGTGAAGAAGCCAAAAGTTGATCTTTCTGGACCCTCTGCCCTCTTGTACAAATTTTGCATCTTGATTCTATTACCTTTATTCCATCATTCCGTTTCATCGACTCGTTATCACTTCTTATTTAAGAATCTCAGATTTCAATCTAACTTATTGCATCGTGGTTATAGTTGGTGTAGAATACTCTTGAATGTAATACATAAATTCAATTAATGGGTTGTGTGTAGCACATCAAATTTTTATATCCATTTTCCTGCAAAGTATTAGTTTTACACGTGGCTAGCAGCATAATAATCACGAAGCATGTACATATATAAGCTACACACGAAAGCACTATATGTAACAATAATTGTAACACTTGTCCGTTTTAGATTTATTAGGTATTGTTGTTACTCTTGTGTATTATTTTATAGGGGATTGCGCAACAGCATAGTTTGTACAATCATTCATCATTTTATGGGTTACAATTTCTGATTTATTAAGCTGTTGTAGATGGAAAGCACAAAAACTTAATTTCGCTCGTGGAAATTGATGTATGTATAAATGGTGTTGTCGAACTTGTAATTTAAACCGAACATGTAACCTTAATTGGCTCAATATATATGCACATATAATTTTCATACATGAATACGTGTACGCATTATGGGGCGCTCTACTAGTTTCCAAATTAGCTATTATTTCGGTCCATGATATAAGGAGCAGGAATGTGTTATCATCATTCTGGTGTTATTATAATAATATGCGGAGCCTACGTATGTACATAAAACACAGGAATAATTGTCTCGTTGAAACCATTATTCGTCCCGACGAAATTTGACAGCCTCGTGGATGGTTTCATATAAATCAATATGTTATACTCGTGCTTGAGTAGAATTCAATCAATTGTGGGTTTATTTCCAACAATGGACATACATATGTACAAAATATACACATTTTTACATATCAGGAAAGATCATTCTAAACACTTATTGGCAGTGTAATTGTCAACTTTGGCCAGAACAAGGCTTCAGATGTTTCGTCTTCATCGAGTGCACTGCAAATTAATCCGAACACACAGTTCTCACTTTCAGTTCCAGAGATATTTCATCGAGCATTGGTTAATATTTATTTGTGGGTGATTTATCCATGCACATTATATGAAAGTGATGGAGCATGTTATGAATGAATGGCGATGAATGAACAAACTATCGTCGTCTGTATAAATATGTATCAATTCATTCGCCGAGAGTTAGAAAACCTTGGTGAAGGTCAAAGTCAAGTGGTTCATTTTGTCCAAATTGGTGCAGTTGCTGGTGGTGCATACACAAAGCTGTTAATTGTATTATCGCACTCTTCATCCCACAAAAAAAGATTACAATTCAATTCACAAATAATAATCATTCATACAGCACCAGTTTTAATAATAACAAAGTTTCCAGGCTTGCCGGCAGATATACATTTTTAGATCTACTTTGCACTCATTTGATGAGAGCATGATGTATGTAAGTATGTATGCATGTACATGCAAATAAAATGTATATTGTAGTATGCAATTGGTTTTGAGGTAAAATTTGTCTCACATTATTCACATATAATGCTATTTTTATCCAATTTTAGAGATTCTACTGGACACTATATTTTGTCCTGTCATCTGCGAGTGTCCAATATATCGATTTAAAATAAAAGTTACAAAGGGTTGTTGAGAAAAATTGTCCAAATTTGGCATCACTGATAGCTTAAGGTATTCAATCAATATTCAATGTGCATCATATAGTATCAATACGTAGGCTCTGCGTTTTACAGATTTTACTCCATGTCGCCCATTTCGTATAATAGATGCGCTTGCATGCGCTTTGTTTGCCTGGAGATAAGCGATTCCTCGAAGCGCCTCATCATTCATAACAATAATGTCACTGCTAGCATGACATATGGACATTTCTGTTTGCGATCAGATTCGTCAATCGTGATTTCGCACACATAACCGTACCCCACAACCGACATCAGATCTCTACATACAATATAATACAAGTAATTAGTGTAAGTAGGTATCCTGTAGTTTTAACAGTAAATAATTTTTTGCGCAGTAGTTGTGGCCAGTTCATGAATGAAAATTATAAATAAATATTTCTGCACAGACGTGTTGTTCAAGTTTTTATGGGCGCCGATAATAATCAGTTCGCTATAGGGAGCTTAGCCCCCATCGTTCAAAGGCATTAAAATTATTATCGGTGTGGCGACAACAACAAACTCTTGAAGGTCAGTCAATCGGCCATGTGACGCACACGTCTACTAATTGTAATTGTTTTTCTTATGTAATTGTCATTCTTTCCATTTCATGCGTAAGTAGGCGACACGAGAACATTAAACTAAAACATTTCAGAGCAATTTACTCCATTATGCAACTGCTGACAAGAAGATTAAATTGTGTAGCTCGTGCTGGAATAATTATGCAGCATGACTTCTGTAAAAGGTGGCATAATAACTACCGTCATGTTTTGAAATTTAAATTTTACCACCAATTAATGCACCTTCCAGATTTACGGTAATTATGCAACTATGTAAGCAATGCATGCTAAGTTCCCTTGCCTTGTCGCTTAATGTGTTAAACTTGAAATGTTCGACAACTTCCTGTTGACTTCCACGCATAGAATTGTGGGGAGGCATTAGGCACCAAACTGAGAAAAAACAAGGAATTTCGGTGTTTCATGGAGATATATGTATCTCATCTCAAATGAGCTGTACTGAAAGGGGACAGGACACTTTCAGATAATAATTGATGTAAGCAGAAGGGTTGTTTGTTGCTGTGAGTGGGCCCAACAAAGAAAATTAAAAAATCTAAACTAATTCTGATAAGGACTATGTGTTAAAAAATCAAGAAAATATTTGGCAGTGTTGTGACTTGAAGGGAAGAAATTCGTCCTCCCTAATAACACGTTAAACAGGAAATTAAGACACACTATCCATTGACAAACGCATACATACATATCATACACACGTACAAAGCTAGGTTCATGGTGGTTGGTTATTGTTCCCCCACTGAGGATGAGTGCTTTTAGTTAAGTAGTTGTCTTTACCTCAGGTTTATTTTCGGAATATTCTTTCCGTTGGTCTTTCTTGAGAGAGGAAGGATGGACGTTGGATGACATAGCTGCATGCATAATCAAGTTCAGTTTTCAGACATTTATACATAAATGTTCATCCCTTTCATTTGGTTGAAATAATTCATTCAGTCATCATTCGTGGGGTGGTTGGCATAATATCAAGGCAACAACATGACACCTTCGAATTCCACTTCTTGCGATTTGCTGACACTTGCATATTTTACTCGAGGATCAATTTACAAGTCTTGCCAAACACATTTGACTCGTAACTAAAGGCAAAACTGTATATTTATTCCCGATAAGTTTAAAATTATTCTGACTCTGTTTTATTTTCCAAGTCCAACCAATAAGTTTTTGTTATATATCAATCCGCTTAAAATGTAAATTAAATTCATGTGAATGCATTAAAATGTCTAAAAAACATGGGATTCAACTTGAGAACGTATTGCGATTCAGTTTCATATAAAGTTGCCTTGATACTACGATTTGGCAATCTCTTCTGCCTGTGAGTGTTGGTGTTTTAATCCTGCCCTATCCTCCTACATTTCGCATTCACTTCTGCCTTCACGGAGCAAATTCAACTCGTTTCACTCCTGATAAGGTTGATTCCACTGAGGTTTAAAGTAAACTAAATGCTAATAAAAAGATAAGCCAGTTGAAAACACGTACAGTCATCTGAGCAAACTTATCGCTCCATTCTCTGCTCCTGCCTCTACAAATTGTGGGCATACAATAATTGCACATTGACACCACCACTCATTCCGTTCTGCAAAGTGTGATTGG